TCCTTCCTTTCTTTTCCCTGACAGGCTTTCCAGAGTTATCTCTAGCTGGCCTCTTTATATAAACCTCTCCTACAAACTAATTTCTCATCCTCACTTTGTTTTTCTGACTTAGTGCCTTTCCTTTTTTACCTGCTTTTAGGTTCTTACTTGCTTTTGCCTTTTGCAATCCCACCATTATATCAGAATTCAGCTTCAATCCTAGCAATGCTGTAAACACCAAGAAAACCCAAACTAGAAACCATCTGTCCCTCTTGTAAATTCTTGTAATTCCTGTTAATGCCAAAGATTCTCAGTCCTTAAAATAAGAAGACTGCATTCCCAAGCCCCCCCCCCCCAAAAGAGAGAGATTTTATCAATTCCTCTTCCATTCAATGAGATGGGGAGAAAAGGAACCAAGGAAAAATGTCCATCCTGACTGAGTGGGAAGATAGAGATGTTATTGGTGGAAATTGGACTCCTTAATGGGAAAAGGGCTGGGGCTCTGCAGCACATCCCAGCATGTGCCAGAGGACATTGGTCACGTGAGAGCCTATGTGAAAATGTTTCTATATATCCATTCAGCAATATTTAAGTACTCACTGTGCTAGCTAGTGAACAAGAGAGGGACAGCGCAACTCCCAGCTGCGGAAGATTCCACAGTCTCATACCGTTGGGAAACTGCATACTCCAGAGATTCATGGCAGTCTCTAGAGGTTCATAGTGGATGTTATTATATAAAAGTCTCTCAGAAGAGACTTAAAAAAAAGAAGAAGAAGAAATACATCATTTTTGTATTTAGTATTATTGTCCAAACTAATTTGGCCACAGAATCCCTCCCCTGCTTTTTTTCTGATAATGGCTATTAATATCCCATGCAACTGGAACTCTGTGGAACAGCAAGTTGGGAAATGCTGTGTAAAGGTAGTTCAAACGCTGAGAAGGAAATGCTGGCCATTGGAGAGAAGAAAATAGTATACACTTTGGAGATGTGAGTAGAGGAGAACTCTGCTTGGGAAGAGAGCAACTGGAAATGCTACGTAACATGGTAAGAGTGTGGAGGGTATTGGTGGTGTGTGCAGAAAAACACTCCAAAGCTTTCAATCCTTTTCAAAGTGGCTTCTTCTGATCATAAGGAACAGACCTGAGTAGGAAAAGCGACCTCTAAACTCAAACTTTCTTCTCCTAAGCCTCACTACAACTCTGTCCCCAGCAAGATGATATGGCTATCATTGCCAGGGAGCTCTAAACTGGCTCTACCTTCTTCTCCAACTCTTCTCTTGCCTCTGAACTTTGAGGGAAAGAAGCCCAGAGAGTTGACTCCTCTCTGTGAAGTTCAAGTTCAAGTCCTGGTTGTATTTGCAGAAATCAAGTAATTTTACTTGATTTACTACTATTGAGCACACTCATATTTAGTTTGCACTGTGGTTGCAATAATAATATCCCAACAATAATATGCAACTGCTAATACTCAGTCCTGGAGTTAGATTTTACAATAAGACAAAAGAGTCAGAAAATATAATTTGACTGATGCTTAAAAATATATTGCTATGATGGCATTTTAAATTGTATCAGCATCAAATATTACACAGCTCACTGTACAATATGAAAGAACAGTGCTGCTCCCAGTGAACTCACTCCTGCATCCTTATGTGGGCATCCTTATGTGGATGAGAACCTTCCATAAGCCTGCATTGTCAAAATGTTACTTTACTTACAGGCTTGAAAGAAAAAAAAAAAAAAAAAAACCCACAAGAACAATGGACTCTCCTTCTGTGCTTGAAATATTTCATAACAAGAAAAACAAAAATGTTCCATTTAACCTAAATGAGGTTACTGAGTATGTGCAGAACTGTTCCAAAAGCACGTATACAGGGCTGAACTAGCAGCATCCTGGGTAACGTGAGAGCCTCAACCGCTACCAAGGAGAGCAGACAAGCTCAGCATTACCAGTCCTCCATGAGAACCCACCTGGGCCTGCCTCTCTCACCAGTCTTGCTGTAACTTGGTATTTGCTGGCCAACCATTACGACAGCCAAGTTTCAGGATATGAGCTCTCAAGTATATATTTTATGGTAAAATTTATTGGTACAGTAAGATAATCCAGAGTCAAATGAATAATATATATTTTAGTATATAATGCTTTTGTAATCTTATAGAGTCATAAAGAAATTTACTAATGGAATCTTGTGCCATATTTTTTGGCCTTCCTGTAGTGTATAGAGTTTTTATAATATTTTGGTGGCTTTACTCAGACGAAGTTTCTACTGTTTTCTCAACCCAAGAAACAATTTTAAAGTCTTAGCAATAATCACTTGAAAGTTTTGACTTGTTTTCAATTCAACTAGTGAATTTTTAGAATCTCTTGAAGGTGGATAGCCTTCCAAATATTATGCCTTTCCTTCCCAAACCGGGAACACTTTAAGAACTCATTTAATCCTTAGTGAAGCTCAGAGAAATAGGCACTTTTATTCATTATTTGTGGAACTGTAATTTGAGATGTATTTTTGAAAGTCAGTTTGGAGAGACACACAAGTGCATGCATATGTTATATATACATATATGTGTGTATACATACACACAAATGCATGCATCCATACATACACAGTTTGGGCCAGCTTCCTACGAAATTTCCCATAGAATTATTATAAAATGTTATGTATGTTATACATATTTTTATTAGGAATTTTTTATATTATATTATATTTTTATAGGTGTTTATAAAAAAAGTAAAAAAGTAGGAGAAACTTAAATGCCCAAATTTAATGGAAAAGTGGAATAAAGTACATTATATTCATATAATAGAATATCATGTATCCATTAAGTCATCTACCAAACCATGTTAAAGTTTTGATACATTCTAAAAACAGGTTACACAATACAATGTACAACTTAATGCCATCTTTATCTGTATTCAGAAAAAATCCTGGAAGAATATCTGCCTAAATATTAATAATGACTATACTTCAGTGATAAAATTTCCTCTGTTTTCCAAGTTTTCTGGAGTGAATGTGTGTTATTTATGAAGTAAACAAAATAAATGTGACAAGTTTCTTGATATATTTGTACTCTTTGACCCAGCAATTCTACTTTATTGAATATATCCTAACATAAGGAAATAAACAGATATATTCCTAAAGGTTTATTACAACTATGTTCTTTTCTGACGCTTTTATTGTGATAAATACTGAAAGCAATTTAAATATCCAGTATTAGGAAACAGGTCTTAAAAACATAACAGTGCATTCATGCACAGTCTTTTAAAATCAGATTCTTGAAAATATGGAAGAATGAGAAGAAATGCTTACATGAAGTCAAAAGGTATATAGATAGATACATAGACTTTGGACTCCAGGAAGCTCACTCTGTAATTATATAATTACAATTTGATTGCCTAAAAAAGTATTCATTAACATGTAACCAAAGTTACCACTGGATGTGAAGTTTCTCTTTCTAGTTTCTTCTGATTTTCCTTCTTTATAATTTTCCATGCTTTCATTATTTTTAATTTTTATCAACAGAAAAAATATATGTCAACAATAAAGAAGCTTGTTTTATTGCCAGTGATATTAAGATACAGTATATGAGCATGTTCCCTTCAAATATTTTTTTCAAACTATCATTTCTATTTGATTTTTTAGTGTATCCCACAGTAATATAGGGATACTTAAACATTTCATTTTAGTCCCTGGGTCTCTCTGACAAACAATAGGAAGAATTTTGACCAAAAGCCTTACTTTGCTCTGTAAGATGCTTAAAACAACATAGGGAAGGGATATTCAGTGGGCTGGCCCCAGACTTATATTTCTGAACTGTGACACTAAGGTTTCCTGATGATTTGCCTGTCAAGAATCCACAAAAGCAAAAGTCAAAGCAGTTTCAAGTTCACTGATAACCTCAGTATAGCCTTCCTTCCTGATGCAAAGCCCACACCCACAGAGTGAGGGTTTTTTTTTAATTCATTGAGAGAGTTTATGCCCTTAACATAGTTCTAGTAATAGCATCTGATTGATTGTCAAGGCAAGTAACCATCTTTGCTAAACTCAGAAATGCAAAAATACATATATTAATTTCTTTTTTTTTTTTTTTTAAGATTTTATTTATTTATTTGACAGAGAGGGAGACAGCGAGAGAGGGAACACAAGCAGGGGGAGTGGGAGAGGGAGAAGCAGGCTTCCCGCTGAACAGGGAGCCCCATGCGGGGCTCGATCCCAGGACCCTGGGATCCTGACCTGAGCCGAAGGCAGACGCTTAATGACTGAGCCACCCAGGCACCCCCATATATTAATTTCTTGATATATCTTTATATTCCTAATCACTTAATATATCATTTATGTTGCAAAAAACCATTGCATATTGAGTGATGGACAGTAAGCCCAAAGAGTTATCCATATGCCACCACTAATGTGTGAACTCAATGAGTGTTTATTAAAAGCTTAAGTGTGAAACATAGTTCTGGCCATACAAGATAAAGACAGACAGAGTCCTGCCTTCCTTCCTAGATAAAGACGCAAAGACAATTCTGTGGATTTTACATACCCTTTCAACATCTCTTCTCCAATAAAACACTCAAAATTATAATTAACATTTATTGACTTCCACTTAAATTTAGTGTAATATATATTTAAAAGTTCACTTTTAAATCATTGTCGTATAGCCCAAAACCATGGCCATGAAATTTACCAAACACATGTATTTTTTTAAAAATCTGGAGGTAGTTTCTGGAAGCAGTTTCTGCACTCGGACAGGATGTAGTACATTATGATTTTTCCTGATGAAATTAGAGACTTACACTGATTCTTTGGACTCCAGGAAGCTCACTCTGTACTTTCAAGTTTTCTGATAGGCTTGGAAAATACCACAGGGCAAGAGTTTTTGTTTCCCAGGTGAACAGGCAGAATTGAAACCAAGTTTTGATAGCAGACCAACAAAACAATTAAAAGGGGGAAAGTGAAAAGGAAAAGGAAAGAAGTGGAAAGCAAATATGTGAGCTGAGGGTAAATAAAGCAAAAATGAATATTTACTTGATTTGTCCATTCTCCTCGTACGTCGTTCTGTAAAATCCCACGAGCGAGCCGTTCAGCCAGCCAGCGAACTTCATGGTCAGGAGGTAGGCACCCTCGCCACTGCTGGGTGCAAGCTCTTCTTCCGCCTCCATCACCACATACTCCTGCTTTTTGTACTCGAAGCACCGCCTGACTTGCACCTGCTCCCCGGAGGACCTCTTCAGCTCGGGGAGCTGGGTGATCCTGGTCTCCCGCAGGTGCAGCCACAGGTACCGGGTGGGCGCGCTCACGTTGATGGAGATGGTCACGCTGCCTGTGTACGTGTCCTCCTCCAGCAAGGGCTTCACCTCCAAGTCATAGTGCACTGGGTTGATGAAGTCCGGCAGCCTGAAGTTTTTCCAGTCTCCACTTTCGTCTTCGCTGGCAGGGCAGACCCCCTGGTCCTCCGGAGGGCTCTCAGTGGAAGGAACTTGGGAAGGGACTTGGGAAGGGACTTGGGAAGGGACTTGGGAAGGGACCGGAGCTGGGCCCTGCCCGGCGTCCCCGGTGGGGCTGCTGGACCTGGTCAAGCCCACGGAAAGTCCTACTATCAATCCTACCCCCACCACCACCGCACAGATGATGGCCACATGTTTCGTTTTAATGCAGTACCTCTTCGCGTCCTCTCCCTCCGCAAAGTTCATTTTTGTTTCCAAAGGCAAATATTACACATAAAAGGATGGTAAATTCAACTAATTCACCAACTCACGTCAGCCGACTTCCTTTTCAAATTGGGAAGAACGCCCTGGCTTGGCAGCCTGTTTTCCTTTTGCCCACACCCCTCTCTGGCTCTCTGCGTGTCTCCTCTCCGCTCGCGTTCGCCACCAGCCGCTCAGGGCTGGACGCGGCAAGGAGGGGGTGGGAGAAGGGCTCCAGAGGGGAGGCTGAGCTGGAGGAAGAGGACTGACGAGAACACTGCCACTGCTCCCCTTATAAACTACTCCCCTTATACCACTCCGCCCCTCCTGCTCCGCAGTGAGTTAAATATAAAATGGGGCTTAGCTTATCAGAGAGCGGGAGGATGAGACTTTGCCAAAGTCTTGTCAGCAGCTTTCGGGGAGAGAGCGTTCGTTCCGGGAGAGAAGTGTGCTTGCCATAGGAAAACTCAACCTTTGCCACTGGGGCTACGGCTTCTTCCTGTTGTGCTCGCAATCTCTCCCTCTTCACCACAGGCTTCTTGGATTTCAGCTGTTTCATCCGGTAGCTCGCCAAAGAAGCCAAGTGTTTTCTTTTCGGTTCCCCCCCTCCCCTTTTACATAAACACTCAGACTCTGCCTTTCCCAAAGTCAAACCCTGGACTGGGATGTGCAAAGGGATACATAAATTCAAGGACCACTTAGGTACTCAGTAAATAATTGTTGAATTGCTGGGCTAGCAAAGCACAGCCAAGTGACTCTGAATCCGTTTGGTAAATGCTGGATGGGAGAAGGAGAGAACGTGAAATGAGCCAAAGAGGTCCTGGAGCTGAAGAGCATAAAAAGACAAAAAAAAAAAAAAGAGGCTGAAACGGAAAGGATTGAAAGGACAGAACGACAAGGAAGATAAACTCGTTAGGTTAGATAACTAACCTGGGGTAGCTAAACTCATCTCCGCAGCTGGCCTCCCAGTGAGACTGGCTTCCTTAGACTTGGATGTGTAGATCATGTTTGCAGCAGATTCCAGATGTGAAAGCTGGCCTGTTGGGAGATCCATTATCTGTGTAAATCGGTTGCCTCTGAATGACAAGGGCAAGATGGAAATCACAGCAGCGACCTGAATGTTTATGAGGAGCTAAGGTGTAGACCCCCAAGCCATCTCTAACAGTAACGATTCAATCATAATTATCAGAAATCTGAGAGCTTTCTATGTGCCAGGCATTATGCTAAGTACATTATAGAAGTTATTACTTGAGTCTTCCCAACAACTCTACAAGGTTGGTACTGTTTGGATGCCCATCTTAGAGATGGGAAGACTGACATTTACAGAGGTTAAGGCACTTGAACAAGGTCACACAATCAGCAAATAGCAGAACTGAAGTTTGTACCCAAGTTGTCTGAGTCCAAAGTCCATATATCTAACAACACTGCCTCCATTCTCTGCAGAGGAGAAATATTGAAGGCTTAAGTTGTTATGAAAAACTTCATCAATATTTCCTAAAGTACAAAGTATTAGTAGATATACTTGCAGAGCAGGCAATGCTGGGTTAGCTAAAATTAAGAATGTTCTTTTACTACCATCCATTCTTTCAGAGCCTCCAGATGGTAATATATATTGTGAATCTCCAGAAGAAGATAGACTCTTGAATAATTTCTACATTGAGTTGATGAGAGAACATTTTTGATGAGATAACTTTCATGGGACTTGTGTTCCATGGAACACTCAGAAATGCTACTTTAAAGTGTTCCAAATTACCAACTAAACAAACGGGGTGGGGGGTAAAGATTTTAAAAGCAAAAGAGTCCATTTTGCTCTGTACATTTCCATTGTTCTCTCAGCAAATAGTAGTAAGAAAAATAGAATTGAAGGGAGGTGGGATATACTTTTCTCGATGATAGGTTCATCTTGTATTTGTTAATTTCACATTCTGAAGCAATCTTAGACTTTTTAAATCATAACATATTTAATTTTGGCAAACCAAATTCCTGAGTTTGAGCCCTCAAGGAAGCCCCTTTTTTATTGCAAAGATCTCCTGACATTTCACTAAATGAAAGGGAAAATGTGGATCATATTTATCTCAACATACTAAAATGAAAAATATTTGGAAGAATGTACATAAAATTGTGTTAAACTGGGAGCATTTCTAAAAAAATCTCAGCTGAGACAAACACACCTGAAAGTCTTAAATTCAAGCACATCTAGAAAGACAGCAATGTTACCAGCAGTCCCTATGCTTGTGGCTAGACTGAACAAAGTAGCTAAGAGACCTTTGGGGTAGAGTGCACTCAAGGGGGATTAAGAATGGTCAACGGCCGTAAAATATCTCCCCTCTTCTGCCAAAAATTCCACCATAAGGGATTCATTATTTAAATGTAATATCTTGGGGCGCCTGGGTGGCTCAGTCGTTAAGCGTCTGCCTTCGGCTCAGGTCATGGTCCCAGGGTCCTGGGATCGAGCCCCGCATCGGGCTCCCTGCTCGGCGGGAAGCCTGCTTCTCCCTCTCCCACTCCCCCTGCTTGTGTTCCTGCTCTGGCTATCTCTCTTTCTGTCAAATAAATAAATAAATAAATCTTTAAAAATAAATAAATAAATAAATGTAATATCTTTGATAGAAATAAAATACCTTAAATCCATGTATGTAGTGTATGTGTATACACACATGCACACATCTGTGTAAATTTTGAGTCTAAGTCCCAGTTCTAACCACAGCATCTTAGTCCCACCCCATAAGGACTGCCTACACCCAGTGAAGGGCACTACATCTTATCAGGATCAGTATGTTAGGGGTCGCCTGATGTTGTAGCAGTAAATCAGCCAGCCAGATAAGTGGGTGTAGCAGAGCCAGTATATGCACTAAACACATCTAGGATCAACATATTAGGGTTCACTGAATACAAAGCCCCTAGCTTTCATAATGTGATGACACCACACTCCATGGCAGTGTACTTGCTGTCCTTCCTCTCATTGACACTGAAATATTGAGTCCGTGGCAGGAGGCTCTTGATCTTGAAAGCCAAATCTAATCCACAGCAAAGGTCAAGGCAGTCACTGATGGAGGACAGAGAGAGAGAGAGAATCTATTCCTAGAAGGAGACCAATGAACCATCATAGGCACTCACCTAGATTAAACAGTTTATATTGGCTAATCCTGTGTTGAAAAATCTACACTGGATATAAGTAACTTGAAAAGACTACCTCTGGTCAGTTTCCACTTAGTCGGTTCAAGCCCGTGGAGTGAATGCAAAGCCGTTCATCATAGATCCGAGACCACATTCCGCCAGCCCACAACTTTTGATAATGTGTGTTATCATTTTGTAACTGAGGAACAAAGTCCAATATCTGTTCCATATAGGGCATAAATGTTCATTGATTGCTTATTGACTAAACAAATGAATGGATAAATAGAAAGGAGGGAAAAGAGCACCAAGAATCCAGAATGGGAATAATATAACAGAAATGTTGAGATAAAACAAACTCAGTTCAAATTTCAAGAGTCACTGGAAAGAAGTTTCCTGGAGATGAGGACCTCGAAATCATATCTGATCTTGAGGAGGTAAGGGACTTCTTGGCTAATTCCTTCCCACAGCAGGTAGATTGATGCAAGAGACCCACTGTAATACTGAATACACAATGTGGACCTCCCTTTTTCACTTGGAGCTTAAAGTTTAAAGCTTTTCTGTTAGGTCCCAGGAATGACATGTACCCCAGACGCTACTGGGCCTTCTGTGGACGTGGGGTGCTGCCAGCTCACCTGCGAACTAGGAACATCTCCAAAAATGTTGTCAGTAATTAATATAATAGTGTGACTATTTGACTGACTCTTTACTCCTATTAGTTGATCAGAGCTGAACTCCATGGTTCAGCAAAATAACGAACAATAATGGCAAGCTGTAGTCATAATAGAAGAAGCAGAATCTGCAAACCAGGCTGTTTAATATAGGGAACAAGGAAGATGGGAACCCGTTTGTCTTCACCTTGCCGTAGGGTCGCCATTATCAAGCATGTCAATTTGATAAACCCAATGGTCAATCCAGTTATTTCTGAACTTTAAAGGTTTAGTTAGAATTGGAAAAGTGAGTGCCATTGCATCTGACTTGGTAGACCAGGAAGTCTAAATCCATACTGGCAATGTTCAGTGTGATATTGGTCAATTATGTCTTATTTCCTATTCTTCATCTTTTATTTGAACTCAGCAAATGTTTTAAAGGGTCCAACTGGTTTTAAGATTAAGTGAACTCAACCAACTTTTTCCAGGAGCTGAAAATATCTGCAGATATCAGGACAGAAAATGTTTAGCATGCCACATCTAACTTTTGTTGGTTGGTAATAATGAATTTGTCCAACGACTGGCACAATGTGGACAACTACACAGCAAGGAAGATGAGGAAGAGTAGAGTGAGAAAGAGGGTCAAGAGGAAAAGAGGAAGGATTTTCAAAGATGATGAGAAGAAACCTCCAAAACATATCTAAACATAATTCAACAAAAAATAAAAATCAATGAAACGATTGGTTTATGTCTTCTCTATTCTTTATTGTTTCTAGACTGACTTGAGAGTCCTTCTGCAGGGTTTTCTGGGGTACACAGATTGTGTTCATGATGTCCCCCACCCATATTACCCACGTGCACCAGGGTTTCATAAGTCACAAGCAACAATCATGTTTCTTTTTTTTTTTAAGATTTATTTATTTATTTATTTATTTGAGAGATGGGGGGAGGGGCAGAGGGAAAGGGAGAGAATCCTCAAGCAGATTCCCCACTGAGCATGGAGCCCGAATGGGGACTCAATCCCAGGACCCTGAGATCATGACCTGAGCTGAAATCAAGAGTCAGGCACTCAACTGACTGAGCCACCCAGGCACCCCAACAATCATATTTCTGTTATCCATTTGGATCACCCCGGAAAAAATCAGTAGTTCACTTTACCTACCTCTCAAAAAATGTCTGGGCCACTCTTCAGTCATTCATTTTTTCAATCGTTCAACAGATATATATTGACTCAATAAATACTTAATTCTTAACAAAAATTTACTGAACAAGGAATTCTAGGATAAACTTTAAAATGTGGATATTAAAAAAAATGTTAGTAAATACTCTTAAAGGCATGTATGCAAACCCTTTGTTCTTAGAATGTAGAGGTTTTGAAAATATTCAGAAAAGCAAAGAAAATAAAACAAAAGGATTTATTATTTCTATAATTTTAAACTGCTTTCCTATTGGGTTCCCTAATGTCA